CAGTGTGGGGATCTTTTAGCCCCTGCTGTAGTTTGACTGCAGGGTCTAACATGAGGTGGGTATACATTCAGAGCACATAACAAATGTATGAGTGGATGTGTCGACACACACGCACGCACACACACCCGAGCCTGCTGATCTCTGACCCTGGAATGTGGATGGAGAGTATGCATGTGTGTGTGTGTAAGTGAGAGAGAAGTGAGATACTACTGCAAATAAGGCAGTAATAACAAAAACCAGGGCTGAGGGGCAGGATAATATGTGGACAAATCCTCACGCACGCACACACATACACAAAGACACACATAGAGAAAGACACGCACACGCCCACACACACGCTGTTATTGTCTGACACAATGACTAAGTAGCCAGATAAAACGTCACAACATGCTAAATGTTCAATTTGGATTCCACTAATTACTTTATGAATGAACACAATGAAACATCTATTGTCTTGTTTCATGCATTTCTACCAAAAACAATTAAGGACAACTCGAAAAAGATGGAAAGGGGAACTCAAAGCATCAAAGTCTATTTGGATCAGCATCAACAAAATCTGTACGGAGCCGTCTGCATAAACCCAGGGTTATAAATAAATGCAAACTCTCATCAGAGCATGAGCATCTCATTCGGTGGAAATGGAACAATTGTTTGTTAAAACATGAGAAAAACAAGCTTGGTTGAGGAGCTGACTTCCTCTGATTCTAGAGCGGTGGAGCTGACTGCAGACCCAAAAGACACTTTCAATTTGCATCCATTCCGCCTTCCTTCCTCATCTGAAAACACCAAGCTAACAAAACACCATGGTGCATATTCAGAAAAACTTATAACTTATAATAATAAAAACTGTGCTGATGTAGACGAGCTACATTAGCTTCATGCAGCCATGTCAAATTTCCATCTTTGGTCCATTATCTCCGATATCGACCCTCTATAACAGTTGTTCTACTACTGTGGTGTAAACAGATTTGACCAAAAAATTGTTGCAGTAAGACATACAACACAGGAGGCTAATATGCTTGCAGAGCAGAATTTTTAATTAGAAGGTTGCTGCCGCCACTTGTAATACTTTTATTTGTGATGTTTCACTGCTGGTTTACATTGTCGATACAGGCAAATTCTTCCTAATGCAGATTTGAAGCATCCCCTTTCTGAATTGAATTGGGTAAACTCGACACATCGACACCAACTTTCAATATTTGGATCCTGTAAACTCTTCCCAGTGATTGCTTCTCAAGAAGGGAGCAAGGATGGGTGTATTTTCAAAGTGCCGTCCACAACAGGGCACATTGTTGGAGAGTTGGGTGGAGGGAATCAATGACACTGAACAGAGAACTCTCTTAACCAGCTTAACTGTGAAGGGACAGTCATGTGCGTGCTTTGGTGCATTATATTGTGCTATACTGGGTTGAATATGTCCACCTACCTGTTCAGATCTAATACTGGTGCGATGGAGTATCAATCAATCATCATGGTGCTTTTTGAGTAGGATTCAGTTTGAGAAAATTCAGCTCAACCCCGTCCTCTGTTGGACAGGGGATTGGTAAAAAAATAAATAAATTGTGGAACAGATGACTTGACACCTTCTGTAAATTCCGATTCTTCTCAGCCCGTGATTACATGTTCTGCTAACAGCTGTGACTGATTAAGTCACGCCAATGCAGCATTCATTAGAGGCTGGCATCGCTGGTGGGTGTAGGTGGGCTGCAGTCAGACTAGCAGCTAAAAGCCAATCCAAATGCAACTGCTGCTGGCTCTGTGAAATACAATTCCAGCACTCACTTGGAAATCAAATTAAAGCACTTGTGTGGTTTTTAAAAAGGCCTTAAGTTAAACTGAAGGACACGTTGATGCGTTTTACACGCGACACGTTTTTACCCTCCCAACTGTCAAGAGGGTAAGCTCGAATCAATAGCATCTATAGCATAGTTTTTTTTGTTCTCGGGGAAAATATTAATTACAAATTTTAATAAAGATACCAAATTAATTACTTTCAAGGCCATTCGTGCATTTCAAAACATTTCAATATCAGTTTTCTCAAATCAACTGACTTAAAAGTGATTTTCAACAGCCAGGGTAGACATTTGTTGGGGTTTTGGTTAAATATACAGTATATCTAACCTGCATAGAGAGCCCTAAACATATTACTACATTAGTTAATCAAAAACACACGCCTCTTTTCTCCATTTCCCTCGTTAACTCAAATAACATGCCTTCCGACACTCCGCTTGTCATAAATAAAAATAAATGTTCCGACAATATATTCAAAGATCATCTCCAGAAATGCTCGTTACGGAGCCATTATTAGAAGCACTGAAAGGTATTAATGCTCTTACTGTGGTATGTACCTGTCCCTCCACAGTGGGAGCATGTTCCATTGTTTTGAGGCATAGAGAGGGTGAGATCTGAGGGCCGTCATACCTTCTTGTCCATGTCTGGGGGTCTCTCCATACATTGAGAGGAAGAGTCACTTAAGCTTTGAGACACACGACCACGGCCCCTGTTCCTTCGCTAAAAAGGCAAAGAGGAACTCCAAGTTACTGGATTAGGTCCAAAGAAGAGTCTAAAAAAGGACTATGATATATATTTAAAAAATAAATAAACTAAAAAAGGCTGATTGAACTCAAAACTGAAAAACAGTCAAAAAGCATTGTGCACAACAGTGGTGGTTATAAAAGAAAAAACAAAATACACCACTGTATAAAAGGCCATTCCTTTCTTCAACTTTCACTGACCAAATGTAACCATTTCAGTGTTGAATAACCTTCATGAACACACATTAGAATAAACGATCAGGATTGGGGGCAGCAGTGAAGACCCACACAACCACACCACAAGCTGTGTTTTATCGTTCCTCCTTTGCCAAAACTCAGATCTGAAGAGGCATCGTGGGACATTTTCAGAGGGGGGTCTTGTTTATCGATCCCAGTCCAACTCAGATTGTTTCTCGCTCGTAGTACCGGTTGCCATGGTGATGAAGAACCACATCCTCAAATTACAGCCAAATTACCTCCAGGCATAGATCAAGGCGTGTGTTTACCCAGTCTATTCAAAAGTACAGATCTATGACCAGAGACTGCTTCTTTTGGCATTTCATGTAAAACAGACTCTCCGGGGCAACATGGTGCACCATGGGATAAATCCTCCTCTTCTGGCCTCACACACAGCTCATTGTCTGAGACATATGGCAATCTCTTCCCTTTAAAAAGGGTCTCAATCTGGGTTTACAAACTGACATACTGTATGCAAGAGTTCATCAATTACTGATCCGACTGAAAACACTCAATTATCATTCAACCTCACAGGACAAGTTTAAAAAATTCGTACCAGTGTATCAAGCAAACTGTATTTTCTCTGCACCTTTTTTTCGGGGATCATTCAGGGAGCTTCGTTATGTTTTCAATTAAATGAATATAACTTAACTGGAAACATATTGTTTTACTGCTGAAGACCAGTTGCTTTGGAAGTTGTAACAGCCACTTTGACCACTGAAGATGTTTGGAATATGCAGCTGTGTGCCAGCAACACCCTGTGTAGATGATTTGGAGGCCGATGCATCAACGAGTGCATTAACACTGCTTAGAAATAAAGGGGAAATTATTCACACACAGTCTTGATGAAATCAACAACACACAAAGATAATCTAAGTTTGAAATTAGATTTGGATACCGACAGAGTCTGGTCAAATACCATATGTTGCTAACATGCCGTAAACATCATCAAGTGGTGTTTTATGAAAGCCACTCTGCTAACAACATTGCTTTCCTTATCATTGATTCCCCCCGTACATTCCTGCCATCCATACAATCCCAGCTTAATGACATTATGCCCCAGCATCGAATTCATCCATTCATACACGATCAATAGAACAGCACGAGTCTTTCCATCAGCATTTGTTAACATTGCAAAATGTCATATATCTGTGTGTGTGTGTGTGTGTGTGTGTGTACACACTATAAAGCCCGTCCTGTGTTTCCATCCTACCACTGTTCCAGATATCATAATAGTTAAGTAACGCTCCTGTTTTTCTATATTTGCGTCCCTCCGGCAACTGATGTAGAGTGTGTACATGCATACCATACATGTGTATGTATAAGTTGCAATAGGTTGTTAACTAAGAAGTGGAACGAAATCGGGAAAGCAACAAGACGTCTCTACAGTGAATGCGGGTGCTGAAAACATATTCCTTCTGCATATCCTGCATTTGAGTGTTGATATGCCTATCCTTTTCGTTCTTCTCTTATCTGATTGAATTCTTCTCGACAATGGGCCAGCTATCCACCCATCAGGTTTGCATTATGCCGGTCGCATCGTCAGTCTACAAAAGATAAGGTAGCAATCATGGACAAGAAACCAGCAATCCGCCAATTAGGAGTGAATGCGAATTCCTTGTCAAAAAAAAAACTCCCAAGTGCAGACAAAATAAACCATTTTTCTGCCTTCTCTGGGTAACCTTTATGCTCTTAACAGACAGAATCACAAAAATGGAATTAGCTGTAAAACGCGGAATATCATTTGTTTCTACATCGCCATCAGTGCTTGGAGTTAGTGGAAAGTTAGTGGAAAAAATATCAATACCTCATTCAAATAGTTAATAGACAGGCAACCTTCAAGACACACTCGTGCATATAGATGTAGTCACGTACAACACACACACTGTGGCCCTCAATACACACACAAGTCATAATGGTTTCATACTTAAAACTATATAGAACTGGGATCAATGCTCAGTTATAAAGGGAATAGTGTATCCATGAGTCTAGAACAAATGTTTACGTGTATGTTTATACTATCATAGTTAAAAAAAACACAAGCGAGCTCCTCATTTAATAAGTGCAATCAATCATTAATTATCTTAAACTAAATACCAAATCAAAATACATAAAAATCTAACTTGCAGAAATAAGTTATGGCCACAAAAAGAAATCAGTTGAGCAGAAAGAGATATTGTGATGTGTGAAGTTGTGGTTTAAATATGACAAACATATGAGTACACTTACCAATTTGCTGTGGTGGTACTTGCAATATCCACAGTACTTGACATTGTCTGCGTCCGATCCTTGTTCCTCACATAACAACCCCGCAAACTGGGCACTGTGTCAGAGCGCAGTGTAAAGCAAATTAAATATTAAAGAAAATAATAAGAAATAGGAGAAAACTTTTCATCATTTATGTGTAACGTTGTAACACAATAAGAATCACATTGCCAACACGTGATGTGAAGGGATTTCTACTCAAAAGTATATCAAATCTTCAAGTCTGTGCTTGAGTGTGAGTGAAGAAACAATCTCCTTCTTTGTCTAGTGAGCTCGATGTGATGTGACCGAGTCTCACCATGTGACATGGAAGGCCTGCCTGCAGCCATGTTTGTTGCAGGTCATACAGGCTCCAGAGGCTGCTTTACTCTCTCTGCCCTGGTCCTCACAGATGTAGCATGTCTACACACGTGCGCGCACACGCACACACACACGCACACACACACGCACACACACACGCACACACACACGCACACACACACGCGCACACACACACACACACACACACACACACACACACACACACACGAGATTATATTTTCAAAACGGACTCAGTCCTCGTACTTACATTGTATTATGCGATTTTGTGACATGTTTAAACGCAAAGATACATTTTGTTTTACCTTGTTGTAGCGATCGTGTGGCACGGACTGGAGTACTATGGGCTCCATAGTCGAGACATTGGCGAATTCCACTTCAGGTATGTAAAGGGCACAGACTACATGGGCCCAGCCTGCAAAGACACACACAAGCCACCATCAACTGCTGCACATATATGACAGTAAAAAGGTAGTTTGTGACAACATGTCAGATGTTAAACCATCTGTGAATCTCTTGAATATGAACAAGAGTGCACAGAATTGATGTTAATTATCGACTTGTTTCATTCGTTGGTTGCAAGTTGCAAAGAACTGATGACCTGAAGAATACGATCAAACAACCACATCAGGACAGATGATGATGGGCCCATCTCACATCACATGACGCATCATCTCATCCGTCTCTGTCGGCTCAGTGCTGAACTAAAATCTATATTTAAATGTGTTCTTCGTCAGTCCATGAAACTTTGACAACAAACCAAAAGTTGCAGTACGAACCCAAAATGGACAAGACCAGAAGGGAATGATGGATAATACTTCTTTGGCCCAAACCAAGAGAACCAAACACAACCATAACGTTGTCTAACCCATCTAATTGATGCGGTGGTGACTTAAGAGGCTTCCTGTTTCCACAACAATTCACGCAACATCGCGGCTGCTAACTCTCCTGGACGGGTGAACAGTGGATTTGATCTGAGCCTGTTTCGCAAATACCCTGCAGCTGGTGATAAATAATGGATTCAACCTGTTTGTGCATCGGTTATCGCTTGTTAGGAACTTCAACCCCAGCACTCCTGCATGGAAGGTACTAATCCCGTCTGTTAACGGTCAATGCTCGGTTAAGAAGGGTCGGCTATTGGTCAGAGGAAAAAATGATTAATTAGCATCCCTAGTCTGGAGCCATTATTAATATGTTAAATTGCAGTTTTTGGTTACATTCACATAAAAAAAAAAAAACATAAATCAAACTGAGCTCAACTTTGAAATGCTGAATCTTAAACGTGTAAATTTGCAACTTGGTATTTAATCTATCCAAGTAGCAGTTTATTGAGCCCTAACACACACAGCTGCTCGTCTGTGAAGACAAACCGGGGGCGGTGGAATGACAGTGGGGCATGGTGGAGTGGCAGCAAAATTGACGACAAGCTGAGGAGGAGCAGAAGGCGGTCAACGGGAGGTCAAATGGAGGTGGGAGTCTCCTGCCACACTGGAGGTGTCTGTTTTTTCCCCATAGCGGAAACAAAAACAGGCTTAAACTTACAGTTGAACCCCTGACCTGCCTTTGACCTGCTGTGCGGGACAGGGGTAGGAGGGCAGGACGGAGGGGAGGCAGCGGGTGTGAAATGGGGGGTATGTTGTTGTTTTGAAGTCCCTCCAAGAATCTGGAAGAGGCCTATAAAACAGGACTATAAAAGTGGCACAACCTTCCTCCTCAAACTGAGCATTCACGGTGTTTCGCCCTAAAAACCTAACAAAGCATCCCTTCACAAACATGCCTTACTCCCAGACGATATCACAGTCGGACAATGAGCTTACGTTTTTTAGATAACAGAGTGTGTTATCAAGTTTATTTTAAAAAATGAGTTTCTCTGGTAAACCACAGTAAAACCATGACACCAACACCAGGTAAAAAACAAACTTTAGCTCACGTTGTTCTTACTGTCGCCGGTAATGAACTGCATGTACAGTGAAGCCACATCTATAATTAGAATATGCTCAGGAGTGACGGTATCCAGCTCTAATTTGCTATGATGCCACATATTGAATATTTCTTAGCACTGACTTGTAGGACGTGAACTTGATGCTGATTTTAAAGCGCACTCGTTTCCATTAAAAACCCTTAAATACACGGATGCTATAAAGAGGGCACCAATATTTATTGGGCAACTGAATGACAAAAAAAAAAAAAAAAAAAAGAGGCCAGGACAAGCAGCTGTTAACGGAACTCCTGTCTCCCTCTATGTCTTTTCTTTCGTCTCTGCGATGTTAAGATCAAACACCCATTCTAGACTAATCCCTCTACTCAACTGTTGTTTCAGTTGGGACAGTAATAAAGCAACTACCACACAGATCAACAAGTGAAGAGGAAGTGACAAGAGCAGAGGAACGGACGGCGTGGGGAAAGAGATGGCGAGAGAAAAATGGGGAGGAAAAAGAGAGGGAGAGAGAGGGGTCATGGGAAGGGTAAAATAAAAGAGAAAGTAGTAAAACGGTGTGTGTTAGTGTTGTCCTGATGCCTCCCTGCAGGCCTGGACACAATCCCACAGCTGTGCCTCTCTCCCCGACTGACTCTCTCAAACACACACACACACACAGACAGAATATTTACAGTCTCCACCAAACTGACCTCCCAATGAACCCAGAGAGGAGACTCCTCACAGGCCATGCACTATACCCATCCTGGCCCGCCCCCTCATAAACACACACACACATAAAACATGGACTGGCAAGGACGGCAGAGAGAGGCTCCGCGCACACGCGCACGCGCACACACACACACCAACATAACTCTCCCAGCACGCTCACACCCCCTTAAACTTGCCGGTGACATAGAATTAATGACAAAATACCAAAATACACAAGCGGCTCACAACAGTTGTGTGTGTGTGTGTGTGTGTGTGTGTGTGAGTAGCTGAGAGGGATTCTACCTCCGTTGTCTGTCCTCTTGAGGGCTCCATCTTTGTGGGGACACAGCTCACATCTCTGTGGGTAAAGAAGACACAGCGGGTCAGAAACATCCTCCTCTACTTAAGGGGAGGTGAGCACAAAAGTATGACAAATATGCCGCTATGTGAGATAAACTGGCAAGTGGCCCTGACTTGTAGCACAAGGCCAGAAACTCTACGGGAGGACACCCTCACTACCTGCCACCTAAGGTTGTTTCTGTCTCCGTGTGTGTGTGTGTGTCAACAACAAGTCATAGTGCAGTTATTTCTGCTGCTGCTGAGCTTGACAATTAAACTGTTCCTCAACTTACACATAACGTGGTGCTGCTCGTCTTAAGGCCGACACTACATGTTACAAAAAGCACTGTGTGTGTGTGTGTGTGTGTAGAAAGGCTTTCATGTCTTCTTTTCTTCTCCAACAAATAAATTGCCGTTGCGTGTTTAAATTCACACTTCACAAAAATGGAAAGTAAGTAAAGGTGCTTCCTCTCCACATTGCCATTGTATAATTCATCTTTCTGAATAGCTGTCTGTATACCATTACTGTAATTATTATATTTACTATGATGTTCTGTGTAAAAAGTGTATAAATGTATTCACTCAATCTACAATCTGTCTGAATATGGCACCTGTGGACTACTTTCATTTATTTTTTATCTCATAAAAAACATTCAGATGCTACAGGTGCTGATGAAAAATAGCTTCTTGGCTAACTCTGGTGCATTTACAGCAATGTTTGTATTAATGTGCACTGTGCCTTATCAAATAAACCAATAGATAAAATTGCTACAGGTGCTGATACCTTCCTACCTAATATTACTTTGTCAGGAAAACAAGGCAGAAACAGGAAGTCAAGTACTTTACAGCATTCATTTTTATCAAGGACACTGACACTGATTAAATTGCTGGTTCTAGTTATCTGCTAACTTTGCACACAATGTAATTCTTTG